TAAAATGACTTAATAAAACAGAATGCTTGCTCATGACTTTCAATAGACCAAACTCCCTTCCTGACACACAGAAAGGATAAGACAAAGATCAAGAAAAATTCACCTTTTAGACCATTTAAGATTGATACATGTATAAATGCTTGCTATGCTTTCCCGGACAAAAGTGAATTACAGTGCCCTGAATGCCATGAAGCAAGATACACTTCATCCAATTCTACCGCAACACCTAGACGAACTACAGAACAGTTAAAAATAGCTCCTCAACTAGCTTCACCTTTCACAAATGCGATGTTTCTACGTCATTGTGAAAAACCTATCGATACAACCATCAAAGGATCATATATAAAAGATCTTCAATCAAAAGGCTTGTTTCAAGGAAAATATGATATTGGCTTGGTTCTATTTAATGATGGTTTTCAAACAAGCAACAAAGGAGGTGTCAAATTAAATACAATTCATTTTCAGATTTTGAATTTACCTGAAACGGAAAGGTAAAGTGAAAACAGTAGATTACTTACATAACAAGATAACAAACAATTTAAACTAGAGTAAAAAAAGAAAATAACACTGATGTTGGATTTGCACCAAAAACTAGTAATCATACAGGCTATTTCCGTTTTGCTATCTCTGAACTAGAAGAGTTGGCAAAAGAAGGAATGGTTGTGCATGTCAATGGAAATACGTATCAATTGAAAGTTTATCTTCTTGGTTCCTTTGGAGATATACCATCTGTCGCTGAGTTTAATTATCTGACAGGTCACACGTCATATTGGCCCTGTACATTTTGTACGGTCTATTCAGATAGACAAAAACGTCGTATGTGCTTCGGCATACCTGCTAATAGCGAATCCCAGCCACTTCAAGTTAGAACCATTGACCACTATAAACAAGGAGATCCCACTCGTGGAATTAAGAAGCCATCAATTTTTAGAAACCTACCATCTTTTGTAAGTATATACTTCCTTGGCATTGATGAGTTTCACTTGTTTGGATTGAATATTGGCACAAAGATCCGTGATTTTTTACAAGGAAACGAGCCATCTACTTTACATTTGGCAAAGATGCATTATAAACAGCTTGGTGACAATATAGCTAATGAAGGGAAATACGCACCCATTATTTTTGAAGGGGATTTCAAGGATGTTTTTCAAAATACAGGCCGTTTGCGCGGTGTTGACCACATGGTTTTTTTAAAATATATTGTGCCAACTCTTGTAGTAGAACAGCTCCAGCAGCAGTCTGATAATATTCGACATCCAACCGACGAAGAATTAGTACACTTAAATGCATCCATCTCCGCACTTCAAGCCATTTCCATCGTATGCTCAGTTTCCACGCAATATGTCATATTTGATAATCAGATTGAACAATTCGATGAGCTTATTAACGTATGGCTCAATTTCTATCTTGATAGTCTACCTGCAGAACAATTTAATATCAATTAGTATTATTTAACTCATGTCAAAGACGTAATTCAGGCTATGGGTTCACTTCGTCAAATCAGCTGCAGGAGTATGGAAAGAAGGATCCAAAGAATCAAGCAAAAATTAAAAGTACTCGATTGCCAGAAAAAAATGCCGAGAATTTATATATTCATAATGCTTATATTATCTATCACGCAAGAGCTAAATACGATGACAAAAACGCAAACTCTGTACCTATGTCCGATATGTTTAATCAGATCTTTGATTTAGACAAATTTAGGAAGTATAACATTTTATCACTCTTATCTGGTATCTTAAACACAACACCTGCAAGAAATTCCACCAATTGAAATGTGCCGAACATTTGGTATTTCGTGAGAAGTATAGGTTGTTTGATAGTTCCATTCTTGTGGCACATAGAAAGAAACGATTATGCCAATATGCCGTCATAAAATCAAACGTACCAGACAAGCCATATCTGGGGAAAGTACTTTTACTCTTTGAACACACGCATGATAAAATTACAAAACGTTTTGCACATGTCCACATTTATCAGAATATTTGTGTATCGTTGGCTGGCATTCCATACTGTGACATTCGCGAAAGATGTAATAAACACGGCGTAAATCAATGCACAATTTTGGAGATTGTGAATATCGAGGATTTATTACATACTGCAGCTGGTTTAGAGTCAAGCATAAAGAACAATGGGAGGATGTATTTTTTCTGGCCTATGATGAGAAGGATAAATTTAAAGATTGGCGAATACGATTGTTTCAATCGGCAGATGGAACCAAACTTTAATTGTAATAAGCGCAGTAAAATTTATTAAGAAAATAAAGTGTCGCATTCAGATGTTCCAGTAATAAAATTAAAGACGTTAAATTGACTGTTATTTAACCCTGAAAAATGGACTGAAATCACTGGATATTTCAAGTTATTCAGTTCCTGTCTTAATATTTTGAAATTACCATGAATGAGAACTGAAAAAATTACGAAATTCAGTTGCACTTTAATGGTATTAATGAAAAAATAAAGTTTGTTAGTTTATATTGAAAATACACTGAAAATGAAACACGGAATTAACTACCCAATTAAAGCTTTCCAGTACTTTGTAATTTTTCAGTGCTTTTTAACTAACATTTCAGAGTTTTCATAAAGATTTCAGACCTTTCGGACTTACTGTGACATACAATTAAGCTTTTAAAGTCAGTTTTTACTTTTTTTTTGTCAACTGCTGGGGTTGACTTAAAACTTTTATTTAACCGCACTTTTATCTAACCGTTTTTTAAGCGCTACTGCTGGGGAGGCTGTAAGTGTTTGTGTCTTGTGAGGTTTTTTAATTAGATACAGATGGTAAAAGGGTATTTACTTGAAAAAAAAAGACTAGGGATAAAGAATTTTGTGGCTTTTTTACAAAAATTAGATGTTTGTCACAACGTGGATCAGTTTCATTGGTGAATAATTGCGCCATCAACAGAAGAATTTTTTTTTTTACACTTCAGCTTTTTTTTACATTGTCTAGGCAATTTTTGAGAGGGCCCCCACTTTTTTTATTTACAAAATCTCTCTGCTATTGATTCTTTTATGAAATAATTCATGTTTACTCCACATCTACTTGTCAATGTGGCAAGTGAGGTATACTAGAACAAACATATTACAAACTGATATTATTTTATGCAAGATTGAGCTTCCTAGAACTTTTAATCGAGGCGTAATCTCACATGCAACATTTATGAATTAACGTAATTACATGGAAGATTTATGGCAAAATTTTTTGAAAGTAAATGCGTTGAACATGTATATGTTTGCAGTACCAGGTAGTGTATTATATCTATTCGAAGCATTATGTCAGGCTTCTTCTACCTCCTTCTTGACCACAACCCGAATTACGTTCATTCAAGCTTATTAATAAACACGCGCTGTTTGCAAAACTTTAATTTTTATACATCTCTACTTCAACCCTACGTCTCTTTTCAAGTCTCGTATTATATAAAGGGGTCGTGTTAATACCTGTTACGATTGTCTCTATATTCAACGTCTTTTTTATACTGGACGTAGGTGAATACCAGATCAAAGCATCCTAACAACGTAACAATAGGCACTTTGATATTTGGGAATTCTTAGAAAAAATCCAGGAATTGCGTATTGACTACAACCATGTTAATTACAATTTCCTTTGCCATCAGAGACTAAATGAATGGACGGTCTTTCATGATACTATGTATGTGAGTCTACCAATGCAATAGATGGGAGTATTACGTAAATTAGATAGATTGGTGCTCATTTTCCTTAGTAAATGACGTTTAAATTACCATTACTTAGATTTCGAGTACGGTTGCTGATTTGTACATGTAGTGTGGTATTGATAGATGCGGAGGGTGTGAATGGATATGAAGATTCAGCGAAATTTCTAAGAAATACAAAGGCAAGATGCATGTTTTATTCCAAACATAAGGTCGTTTTTGTGATATATATCTGATCGAAATTAAGGCTACCTGTATTTTTCATGTTGAGCCCGGTTAAATAAATACCACAGTTTCACTCATTGTATAATATTATTAAAAAATTGTTGCGATCAATTGTGAAGTGACACTCTATGAAGATCTCACTTTCAAAAAATCTATATGTAATGGAAATTTGGATAACAAAGTTTGAATTTATAAGTATACATATAGATCTAGCAAACCTGCACTTAGTTTTCTCAATTTCAGTAGATGAAGAAAAGTCATTTCGATTCTATAAAGTTATTTAAGAATGCCAATTTTATGTTTAAATGACAGGTCAATATAAAGAACACGTTTACAAAAGATTTATGCAGGGTAAATCTTTATATCACGTTATAGTCAAGATATATTTACTTCTCTATGATAAAAATATGTTTATTGAAAAATCCACGTAACGTTATTGTTGATAAAGAGGGTGGTGATGTTTATTTTTATGTCATAAAAAATAAAAACTTTATATCCTTAAAGAAAGTATAATGCAATACTGTATTATCATCTTTTTTTCTTTTCCTTTGTCAACTGTTGTAGAATATTTTGGAATATAATCTTATTATTCATTACAATTAGTTTTGTAAGTAATGGTAAATTATCTTCTCCTACAAATTTCTGATATATCAATAATTAAAAGTACCAAACACAAATAAAATACTCTTATTATACGATATCTTTTCTAAAGAACTAATTGATGCTAAACATTTTATAAGATTGAATTAATAAAGGATATAATAATGTGTTATATCTACGGGAATTTACTTTTTTTTTTAGACTAGATATTTCCTAAATCCAACAACATGATTAGCATAATTAAATACAGGTGGAGGAATCTAATTGAAAAATTATTAAATCATGTCGTATGAGAATTGGCATTTGATAACTAAATTGTAAGAGAGTATCACCCAAACAAAACATTATAATTGATGTTTGTAACTAAATCCTCTTAATGCGTGATTTGATAAAATAATGAAACCACTCATTCATTAAATAAACCCACACCCCCTGAGAGTCGTATCATAATTTATAATCACTAAATTACATTTAACAATATCATTTTTTTTTAATTTTTTTGTTATTATGCATCATTATTTTCCTCCTCTGACTCTTCCTTCTCATCTTCTTGTCCTTCATCAACCAAGTTGACCTCGTCTTCGAGCTCTTCTTGACTCACAACATCGGCACTTGCGATCAGGGAACTGCGAAAGACCCCTACATAGCCCAGGTGGTGTTTGGTAAAAGTTAACCACCTGGCGTTAAGTTTCATGGCACGTTGAAGGAGAACCCAAGCACCAGTTCCTTCAGCGTGCTTCGCAAGTGGCGAAACCAAATACTCCCTCTCTTTGGAGATACTTTCTCCTAGCCAGAAAACGTCTCGCTACAATGATAATTACTTATTAGTTCTCTTTATTATTTTCAAAACAATCTTAATTCAATATATCTTTAAACGTTTTCGCTCTTCTTTCAAAATTTCCATCTGAGCCAAGTCGATACGTCTTCGGACCAGTTTACCTCCCAAAAGCCGTTTGCCTTGTCCATGACAAAGTCCCAAGTGACCGACTTTACGTTATGTAATCAAAATGTTAGTGTTTTAATTGGATCTCTTTGTAATGGAGGAAGTATCTACTTATCAAGACATACCTGCATATGGACTCTCTATCAACTCCTTGTTACCCGTGTTGTACATGCAGATATCAGCGATCACTTGGGACTTTTGGTTCCGCATGCCTTCTTGTAGCTACCCGGCCTGACGAGTCATTAGTCAAAAACAAAGTTAAATATGTAATATTGGATTAAACATTACAAGTACGTACCAATGTGGCCACTGTGGAGTTTATCCCCAAGGTCAAAGTATGCTTGGACATTACTTCGTAAAATATCCTTGAACAATGCCTCTCTGACCTTGAGAAACTCCACCCATTGGGACTCGGCAAAATCAAAGTATAATGGCCCCAGAATGGTAGGTCTTTCGGAGACGTTACGACCGGCAGCCCTCTCGACGTCAGCAAGATATTTTTCAATTGCACCCAGTTACTGCGGAAGTAGGCCCTGCCGGTGGAGCTTACAATGTAATCATTTGCGTTGCCATTGAGGATGTTCCTAATAATAGAGAAATAAATAGTGAATATACTAAAAAATATTGAACAAAAGGAGTACTTACTTAAAGCTAATGTAGGCGCTCAAGCTCAAAGGGAAAGTGTGGGTGTCTACATAGCTTTTTGGAAGGAGATGTGATACAACAGTTCCAGAACTTCTTTGCTCCCCAAGATTAGCTACGTGCTTGGCGTAACGCTCCTCAACACCACGGAAATGCTCAACGGACCACTTTTTAATTTTGTTGTCCTCTTTTGTTTTTTCGAAAACAAGGCGCAGATCTTCTCCTTCAGAGTTTGTGCTGATAAAAAAAATTGAATTCAGTATAGATCCGTATTATCTTCAAATAGTTAACGTACCCAATTTGGACTTGATGGCTGTGTTCCTGTACTTTATAGCCATGTACAGGACATACCGCCGGTTCTCGGCCATTATGGGTTTAGTCATGGTGATGTATTTAGCCCAGTAAGACCAAAGTCTTTCCATGCCCTCACCGTCAGTAAACCCAAAGTTGTCGATCAACCTCGGGTTGTACTTGACCTGACAGTGCATTACATGAGCGTAGGCATGTAAGACAGACAGACACAAGCGGTCAGAACCGGCGATTCCAGGGAAGTTCACCTAAAACTTACAAATTAGTGATATGATAATTGTCAATTTTTGATATAACATACCTTGATAGATGGCTCCAGTTTGCATATAATGTCATATATGACATGTAAATAAACCTTTCTACCAAGCTGGTTCTCGACAGAGGCTAGAGCAGCCAATGGGTACTTAAACCTATAATAGATTAATAAAAATCAATTTTTTTAAAACACAAAGAAAAGCGAATGTTACCCTTCCCCAGCGTCCGGGTCTGCTAGTTGGAACACAGTATCGTGTCTTGCGCAGCCGCTACCAAAGACACGACGAACAGGATAAATGGCTGAGGTGCAATTTTGGTGCACCACAACCTGCTTTTTGCGAGGTTCAGCGACCTTAGTAAATGTAGCCTTTTCAGTGGTGGAGGTACCCTTGGTAGAGGTAGCCTTGGTGGCGGTAGCTCCCTTGGTGGTGGTAGTGCCCTTTGCACCAGGCTTTTAGCATTAAAAAATAAAATTATTTAACATGTTGTATTGTAATGTCACTAATAATTATTTACCTGCGCAGACGGGTCATATCTATCGACTAAAGCCTGATGGATCCAAAACGTCTTGAACCCATCAAGCCCAGCGACTTTGGACAAGTCGTGGTCCTCTAACAACGATCTTCTTCCTTTCAAACGAAAGTTTCCATCCATCATCATGTACTGCTTGTCATTTAAATTATCTGATCCGACCTGGTATATAAACTATCCAAAAGTTAGTATGGCAGTTTTTGTTTTCTTTTTTTTTTTACAAACCTCAGGACAAGCAGCACATGATGTGGAAATATCCCCCATCACCAACTGTTCAGACAGCTCAACCATGTTGTTGTATAGGATGATGCTGTTGGAGCATCTATCAGCAGACAGATTGGCCTACGTAATATTTTAGAAAAAAACAACATAACTTTCTCTATTAGACTGTACCTGAGCTGTCTGATTTGCGCAGACCTTATAGAATTCTGCAATTTTTTCAGCAGAGCTCGCAAAGATGTTTCTTAGGTTGACGAAAAAATCACAAAGACTCAAATGCAATGCAGCCGTAGGTCTGGTTAGTGCTAGGGGGAACATGCCGTCTTCCACCAATACAACAGGCAATGTCTTACAACCGCCACAATACTGGAAGTCGTATTTAGCTTGCACGACTAAAATAAAAAAAATATATAACAATTATGTGATTACAGTCTACACTATACCGGAAAAAAAAGAAATCGACCTTCACAACTGTACGACAATCAGCAGGACACTCACAGGGAACCAGGGAGCCGGGATGCTCACTCATCATTGTGGGCACGCCGCCATTCCACCCAAGAAAGCAAGGTAAGCTTTGGGCAACACCTTCATGAGACATTTCCAGGCCAAAAAGGATCTCTTTTGGTTGGACCTGTACTGGGTCTTGTCGTTGACAGTAGTCGTGTTGGACTGACCGACGACAGCTTAGATTTCAGTGTCGGTTTTGGAATCGCTAAGGACTACTGGTTCCTTTTGGTAGCTATTGCACCCACCTGAGCAGCCACCATCACATCCGCCCATGTCATAATCTTGCTGTTCTTTATTTTCTGAAGATCCGACCGCAGGTGTTCCAATAAAAGCACTAAAATCATTTAAAAGTCGTTCATTGACTTCTCGACGCTTGCATACTGTTTGGTCCAATTTTGTAAGGAATTCATCACTAAGAATTTTTATATTTGTTGGTAGATGGTAAATAATTTTCCTAAAAAGAGGCTTATCTACCACGAAATAAATTGACAAAAAAAACAGAAAAATCGTTAAGTTAAAACTCAAGGCAAATTACAAAGTTAAAAGTTATAAAAACATTGTAAAATTTATTTCAAAGTTGCGTGTTTGATCAACGGAAATGTGTTTCATACTTATCTTTCATTCTTTGAGTGATTTGCATAGTACGTTGCAAAATTTCATCTACAACCGTTGCCTCTTCTTTTGTCATAAACTTGAAAAGCCGTGTTAAATCAGATCGAGAATGGTTTAAGGTGGCCACGTTATCTAAGAAATGATCCTTTAATTCATTGTTATGATCCTGTTGAATGACTGTGGCCATAGGAGCCGTCTCCAAAACGGTAACATTATCAACAACGTAGTTGTCGACACACGAAGGAAAATGCAATGAAAAGTTAGTATGGTTTTTCAACAAATACATATGCTAACATGGCTGTCTTCGTTTGCCGAAATCGTAACAGGAACAAGACATAATGACATTGTCAATAGTTACTTCAATTGAACAATCGATTGAAGCACCATCAACAAAGGAGCTAACATGATACCTTCTGATTCCTTCACCATCTACATCCGAGGGACCACCAACCATTTTCTCTCTATCCTCAGCCTCAAGCTCTCTGATTCTTTGCTGCTTAAAGAAGGGTGACATTGCACCGTTACCCTGAATAACCCTTTCAAACTCTTGAAGGAGGTAATGCTCGACATCATTGACCAAAACAAAAACGAGCTTGTCGAGTCTCTTGTTTCTAACTCGGCCCAAAAACACGGTCTTCAATTGATTGTGGCAAGATTCGATGAAGTTGTTGGTCAACATATGAGAAAACTGGATGTCTTTGTACGATCTACTCCAAACTTTGAACTTGTCTTCAGTACACCAGTTTTTGACGAAATAGACCATAAACTTGGTTTGATCGGCATATTCTTCTTGGAAACCAATAATCCTTTGATGAGACTGATCAAGATCTTCTTCGTATACGATTCGTTGCAAATAACTCCTCATTTCAATTCTGAGCACTCTATTCTGAGCAGGTAAAAATCCAGGAACAGAAACAGAAGCAAGATGTTTGTTCCAAGCCTGCGTCACATGGAAAATGCAGTACTAAATGTTTGTCTTTGCTGGATCAAAGGTATTGGTAATTGCATTTACCTCGGCCTGGCAACAGTCAATGGTGAATTGTTCAGGATTAACCAAAAGACGGGCATCCCTCAAATGCTGAAGCCATTCAACAATTGGTCCAGTGCCATGATCATTGGTAATCATATAGATAACTGGCTATTCTTTGCCAATGCTATTGTCACGAATGATCAAAGTATACAAAATATCGGCCATATTGCTGGAAATACTATGAAAGGCATCCAAACAGAACGCACTGGAATTTTTCATTCGAATCTTCTGATCGGGGGAGACTAACCCACAGGCGAATAAGGATGGGTCCTCAGTGTATACCGATTTTCCAGTAAAGCATTCGTAGCCTTCAGATGGCAGTTTTGTCTCAATCCAAATTTTAAAAGACACCATATGATCCTTATCAAAATGATACATCTCCTTATCAATCTAAAACGCGTTATTGTTAATATCAATATTCTATAGATACTGAGTTTATAGTCTGACCTTGTTCATAGTGTTCCAGATATCATGGTAATTAACCTTACGATGAGATTTGCGACCATAGGAGTCAGCTGCCTTCAACATATCAATTCTAATTTGACGAGGAGTCTTTGATGAATGCTTCAGCTGCTGCAAAATCTCATGTAAACGGTCTCTTGGGAGAGAAAGAGTGCGAATATCGTCCATAAAATCTCCAACAACATGGTTTGTACGATCCTTTTCGATAATGAACTCATAGAACTCGGGATAAGCATAAAAGCTTCTAACACGGAGGGTGCACTTGCAGTCAACCTTTTTCGATTTTTTTTGAACGGGTCGATCCTTGGCAACAGACATGTAAGTAGCAGCACGATGACAGCAATACTGTTGAGAGAAACCGAGAGAAATGCTTCTAGCCTTAGCTTCTTCAAGAGAGAGATCCATGGGTTGCTTGTTGGAGCTAGTGATTCTCCAGCCATAGGCACAAGCTTCGCTGATTTTGGTCAGGCATTCCTTCTAGCTAGCTGATTCTACTTTAATTGCTACGCCAGTATTTAACTGCATTACACCGGGCAAAGTTGAAGGAGTAAGGGCTTCCATAATGTTTATTAAAGAGTATATCATATTGTTAGATGGCATAATTAGTTCAAGGTTGTAATAAAAAAAAATTCTTATCAAGGGCGTGAACCAGACAGGTGCTCAAAAAAAAAAAAAAAAAGGAATCACAGTCCTATTTTTGGAAAATCATTTACCATCTAACAACAAATATAAAAGTTTATCACTAAAGTAATCGAGGATTTTGCGTTTGTCTCTTATATATTTTTTAGGTGTATTATTTTCATTAATAGTTGATTTCTTAGGTGCCATTTTTTTATTAATAGTTGAAAGAAAGAATAAAATCTAAAACCCACTCCCGTCAACAAATCAAAATTAATTTTGGTGACATAATGCAGTAATTTTTGTTTTGTACCTTTTTTTTTTGTACTTTTTTTTTGTGCTTTTTTTTCTGATTTTATGTGATTTTACCAGTAAGATGAAAATTTGACGTCAAAATTTAGCTAACACGGAGGTCAAAATGATCTTAAATTTTTTAAATTTACTGGATGTGGTGAGCTATGTAGTCTTATAAAAGCATACCTAGCAGTGCCCGATAAAAAACTCTAAAGTTTGAGTTTTTTTTTTAAATTCAGAAGTTTAAAAAAAAACTCTTCAATAACGGATCTCAAAGAACTTAATTAATTAAATGTACCTGAAAAAAAAATGTCAAGATCTTTTTACTCAATCCAGAATTTTCAAGATGGAACAACTCGCAGCCATGGCACTCCTGAATCTCAGAAAGCGTGCAAATAATAATGCCCTTCATATACTGAACATCAAACGACTTAAGGATGAAATGTACAGTCAGTCAACGACAGGTGGTTCAGTCGAGGGATGCGGAGTCATTGACAGAGACAGTGAATCCGGCTATCAACGTCTATTGAACGATCACTTTGTCGAAAACCCGGTTTACGGCGAAAAAGAATTTCGTCGTCGATTCAGAATGCGTAAGAATATCTTTCTTCGAATTGTGGAAGCTATCACCGAGCATGATCCGTATTTCCAAAGAACGCCAAATGCTGTCAAAAAAATGGGCCTTCATCCGTTGCAGAAAGATATTGCTGCATTACTTCGGCTATGCTACGGCATCAGCGCTGATACGGTAGACGAGTATTTGCGTTTGGGTGAAAGTACAGCCGGGTTAAGTATGAAGAAATTCTGTGCTGCTGTTGTTGAGGTTTTTGTAGAGGAGTATCTTAGAAGACCCAACGAAGAAGATACAGAGAGACTCCTCGAAAAGAACAAAAAACGTGGATTCCCAGGCATGCTTGGGTCTCTCGATTTCATGCACTGGACTTGAAAAAACTGTCCAACCGCATACCACGGTCAGTATACCGGCAAGGAAAAGAAGCCGACATTGATTTTGGAAGCAGTGTCTTCGTATGACCTGTGGATCTTACATGCCCATTTTGGCTTACCAGGTTCATTAAATGACATTAACGTTCTTGATAGATCGGATTTGTTTGATGAATATACGAACGGCAGCAGCTTGGATGTGAAGTTTGACGTCGGTGACCAGGGGTTTACCATAGGGTATTATCTTGCCGATGGAATATACCCCAACTTTGCCAGTATGGTAAAGACATTTTCTGTTCCAAAACCTGGTGCCGAGGCAGTAAATATCGTTTCTAAAATATTGAAATATATATGCTAGCTAGCTATTAATTAAGACTTCTTAAGATATAGAACTTCGCTAAACAACAAGAAGCATGCCTGTGGTGACCTAGCAAGGCTATAGCCATATTAGAGCTAACAAAGGTTTATCCATGCTGATACCATTTGTGATATAAGCTTAACAATAAATGTTATAGTAAGAACTATAAGGATATTACATCACAAGTCTAATTTAGTACGTCTGAGAAATACTTAAAATTTAGTTTAAAGCAAAGAGAGTTAAGAAGACTTAACATTTATTAGAACAAGACTAAATTAGTGACTTTGTAATAATCGTATACATTTTTGGTTAATCAATGATAACTTTAAGATAGCACTAGAGATATGAACATAGCAGACAGTCTTTTATATAAATACTCGTACATTTCATTTATTAATAAAGGACAATCTTATAAACAGTCTCAAACTACTCCTATAGTCTTTTTATAATTTAAACCTTACCTTAAAACACAACAATGCCGTAAGGATATCGCGAGCGCTTTTGGCGTATTGCCGGCTCAATTTGCTATAATTAGTTGTCCTGCAAGATTGTGAAAAAGAAAAGATCTTGGTATAATTATAAAGGTGTCAATAATTATGCATAATATGATAGTCGAAGACGAGCGGGGTGAGAGCGACGCCCTTCGAAACAATTACTTTAAGTCTCATCCTGCCAATCCTTCTGATGCTGCAGACATTTCTCGCGATCCTTTGTTTTATAGCTGTTCTAGCTATTTAGAGTGCCACAGAAACATCATTGATGCATCTGAACATTTCAGATTGAAGAAGGCCTTGGTAGGTCATCTCTGGCATAGAAAATAATACCGAATTGTTTAGATTTCACTTCTAAATAAAATTCATTCAAAAGTATAGCTCTATCTGGTTTTAAAAAATATTTATAATTTTGATCATGTAACAGAAGATTAAAGATATTTATTGTTCACCATTAACATCTTCTGTACGAAGTATTTCGTTCCCAATCTCAGCTTCGAGGCAATCCGAATGTTGTTTGCGACTAAGCTTATGGAAACGCAAAGTCTCTTCAACATCCTTGAACTTCTCCAAGTCAACACTGAATAATCTCGCATCCAACAACTTGTGATTGACTGCCAAAAGCTTTTGGTTGACAGCCGATTTTTCCTGCTGAATGGCGTTCGCCATAGCCATCTTCTTCATGATCTCAGAGTATTTGTCCGCTAGCTTTTGCTGGTTTGTATCCCAGTTAACCAAGATATCGGTGATTTTCTTATCCATAGAAGCCTGGTTTTTGCTCTTTTTGCGTCCCTTAGGACGCGCAATGATGGATCCATCACTTTCACGACCTTATCCTCAGCAATCACTGTTGAGGTCCCAACCTCAGTAGCAGCAGAGCTACCAGGAGCACAAGAAGCGGTAATCGCTCTCTTGGAACCTTCCTTTACCGCCTGTTTTCTCACGAGCTTCGCGTCTCTTTTTGCCATCTCATCATTCCACTTTGGACTATTACGAAGTACCAAAAAACAATTGTAAAAAGCGAAACAAATACGGTATTTTGTTTGAAACAAATTGAAAGCATCCCCCAACTATTTGTTAAGTTATTTGAGTTAAACTACTATATCCCTTTATCGATAGTTATATGATACGTACTTCATCTGCAGCTGTTTTTTTGCGTCGCTGCATTGATGCGACACAGCAGCAGTGCTTGCTGACAGGAGCAGAAATGTTCCCCCAATGGTTTTTAAAAGCCTTCTCATTTCTTTCTGGTCAGTCGAACTCACCCTCCGCCTTAAAGTCATTCATGATCAACTTACAAAACACTTCCGCCTTCATCAAGTTACCATGGACTGCGTGCTACGAGATGCGCAACCATGACTTGCACACCTGGACATTCTCCTCGTGTGTCAAGCGGAAACGCTTCAACTTGCTGGTATCGGAAGGACCAGCATCCTCATTGCAACTTTGCTCGTGGTCGTCAATTCCATGGACATTACCATCATCACTGGCATTGTTACTAGAATAGTTGCCGTTGTCGAAGTCAGAATCGCTGTTATTGCTCATTTTATTAAAAAAGGTTATAGAGATAAAAAGGAGTAATTTTTATTGATGTTTTTTTTTCCTCTAAAAAAACACTTCGGTTTGGGCACATTTATTGGAAATTTTGATATCCCAAAGTTAAGGGTTTTTTATCGGGCACTGCTGGGGGTAAAAAACTTTTAATTTCCCCTTAATTAGCGGGCAAATCGACTTTTATCGGGCACTGCTGGGAATGTTCTAAGCCGTACCCAAGCAAACTTTATTTTTAAAAGCAAATCGCTCAATTTGTAATAAAGTTTGGTCCCCCTATATATATACTAGCGTATGACATGATTTTGGAAATTTTCAAGTTTCTATCCTCAGTTTCCTTAGGACTTTTCGTTACATTTTTTTTATTTCATTTTTTGCTTTTGCTTAAATACAAATTTTATAATGCTTACACCTACGCAAACAAATACCTTGTTCACCATTTTGACCTTACGCAAACAAATGAAAGATATAGGAACACGACAGCAACAAATAGCTTCGATGTTTTGGGAACAAACTCAGTTACGAGACAACATAATCCAAGAGGGTTATCTCTATCACTCAACATATTTTTTCGACATTACTTGTTTCTTCGCGGCTTTGCCCTTTCTAATTACTGGTAGACAGACCACCCGTACGGAGACATCTGCGGAGGGCGAGACGTTTACCAACTACCGTTACTGGACAATAACCCATCCACATTTACTCGACGACAATAGCCGACGTACTAGTTTTCGAGCCATGTACAGAATGGATCGCACGTCCTTTGAAAGGCTTGTTAATAATCTGAGCAACCACCGTGCTTTTGATCTAAGAGCACACAACGCTTTGCCAGTTTACGTACAAGAATCCTGTGCTATATGGCGCTTGGGCAACTGTCATCTTGGATATAGAACTTCTCACATGGCTTGGGGTGTTTCACATGGAAGCTACATGAATTTTCATATACTGTTTTTAACAGCTGTTGAAGATGCTTATGGCTATTTGATCAGCTGGCCCTTGGAAAGTGACAGAGTCAATGCTATTCAAAATGGCTTTGAGTGGCCCCATGGTAATAGATTTGGAGCTATCCGTCGTTGGCCTAAGGTCATATGTGCCTTGGATGGTAAACATGTTGTGATCGAAGCTAGAAAACATCACAAGAAACAGTGGAGAGATAGAAAGGGAAATGTCTCTATGAAATTGACGGCTATCTGCGACGATAGAGGGCGTTTTACGTACATACGTGTTGGAGATTCAGGTACAATAAAGCTATTTCGGAAGATTTTTAGAGTGTGTGGTCTGATAATCAGATAGGCCGTACTCACGAT